GCAGTTATAGTCTGATGGTTGTGGACAGGAAGTGACCTGCGGTGGTGCTCCTTCCTCCACCAGAGGCACAAGTCTTGAGCTGAAGGAGATCCTCAGAGACTCTACAGTTCTGTGCAGGAGGTGGGAGGAGGTGGACATGATGGTTTTACCAGCGGCCTTCTGACCTCCACCTCCTCAGTACATTATTCCAGGGGCAGTTTGCTTAAAATCCACCAAGGTTTCATGTCATTTTATATTCCTGATGCATGAGCTGTGATCTTATACTGCCACCTTCTGGCGCAAGGACAGAAGCAGAGGGACCCCCCCTTACACACACAACCTGTTTACTGACATACCTTGAAGAATAAGTTGAGTAATACTCGGGAATGGTAAATACTGTAGTTATCATGAATGTCAGACTAATTTAGTAGTTTTATGTTGGGTGGAATGATGATGCAATGTTAAAAGCAAGGATTGAGTGGACAAGTCCACACAGACTCTAAATTATATGTAAAGCTTTTATATTTTGTTAAATGTCTATTTTAAAACCAATGAGTCTCTTTGTGTTTGATTTTCAAAATAAGTGTGGATGATAATCCTGCAGGGGACTTGGTGATTTTCTTACATTACTTTTTTCTTCCATCTCTTTGGAATTAGAGTTCTCTGGACGGGAAATCCGGTCGGCGGTCGTCTTCAACCCGGCGGAGGACACGTCGTTGGCTCATGAGGAGGACGAGGGCTCTGAGCTGAAGGGGCCTGTGGTAAGACCAGCACCTTCGGCTGCTAACAGATTATCACATTTGCAGGTGGAGTTCTGTGAAAAGGTTATGAACAGTTAGTATCTTACCTGTTATAGATGGGTCATTGAACTAACCCAGGGTTTAATTCTGATCAGCTTGATGAGTGAACGGCTCGTCTACATGTAGCTAGACCCAAACTACAGTCCAGCTTCTTCTTCAGTTTTACATAGTTCATAGTTCCTTACCTGAACACTTTCACAAACCTTCATATTGCAGCAGCAGCAGCTGGCTGTAGCAGTATCTGTGCAGCCTGGGGTGCTTCCAACAGGAAGATTATAGTTCTGCCAGAATACCAAAGTCACATAACGTTGATCGTAGTGCGAGGATCTATTCAAGTCTTCACAGGGACCTCTGTGTGAGACTGCAGGTGTTTAAACCAGCACTGCTCTACTGGACCTCCTTGGACCGGTCACTGAGCCCCGCTGTAGAACTGGAC